TCTCTTCAAGCAGACAAGCACTTCAGCTTCTTCCACCTTTAAGTGTTTCAGGATGTCAATACCATGCAATTTAACCTACTCTGGATGCACTTTGTGTATCCGCCTCCGTGTTGCTCACATACTTGGACATAACCTTCCTTACCAGAAGCAGTCTCTCTGAAGGCTGCCTGTCACGCATAATAATAAACACTGACATTTGAGGGAGCAGAAAGGACACGCTGACAAATCCACATAATGGTCTCTAACACAATGGCCCGTGAGTGAGCAGGTAAGTGCTTTCCCCAACACACTGTTCCCCTGCCGCAAAACCTTCAGGAAATCCTATAGGTAGAACTACAATGCTATCTCATAATGATAATAAATATGAAACTATAGTAGGCAACCTACCAGAAAGGGTGTTATCTCCCACAGGTGAGTGAAATTAACCTTTTGCATTATGCCATTGTGCTCGGGTCGCACCTCTGAAAGTATTCAGCTATGATTCTGTATGCTTCTGCTCTCCTGTAGGGTTTTTGACAGAGGTGAAAATGTGAGGATGGTTGAGAGAGCAGGAGATGCCGCTGCTGCTGCTGCTTTCAGTGGTAATTTGCCGAGACCAGAGCCGCACGTTTTTGATGTTGCCTTTCACTCTTCTGCCCTTCATTGCACAACCCTCTAACTCTAGGCAGTCAGGTTTTATTTCCAGCGACACAACAAGCCTCCACTATATGGCATCTGTAATGGAAATACAGAAACTATTTTCAAGGTTGACTTGCTATGAAAATTCACCTTAACTATTTCTTTTTTTTTTTGTCTTAATAAGAGCAGAAATGCACTAGTTGTCCTGTTCTTAGGGGAGTGCAACCTGATAGGAGTTTTAATAAAAAGCATCAAAAAGGTGCTAGAAGGACAAAAACAATCAAGAGATAAAAACAATCCAAACAACCTTATCCCTTCCTTACGTTGGAATCTGCTTTAACTCAAGGAATAGCACCAGAGTGAAATAAAACAAGCCCAATAGGTTAAGACTGTGGTAACATATTTATAGATGGGGCAGTGATCTTTTACGAGAGAGCTGGCTTGAAATAACTATAAACTGCAATGTTGTTAAAGAGCTGTTGTTCTAAAATAAGGTTAAAACATATGAAATCACAGAGTAGCTTAAACAAACAAATCTGTATGAGAAGAAACATATACGATATAATAGAATATAACTACAAAGCAAAATCTTTCACTATTGCTTTTTTGAAGTACTTTTGTTTGAACTTCCAACATTCAGTTTTTCTTCAAAGGAGTCTCTCAGTATAACATCTCTTGACTTGGTAAAGCTTCTCCCCTATTTCTTTTAAACATTCTCTCTCTAAATCCATCAGACCGTGGGAACATCTCTTGCCCTCAGCAAATCTTCTGGTAACCCCCAATCTTTTTTTCTACTGGATTCATGTCTGAACCCTGCATAGTCACCCAAAAAACTTCTACTTACTGAACACTAAGGCCAAGGAGCAGGTAGAAAAGTAGGAAAGAGATATTATTTGTCTCTCCCCCCATTTCTTGACTAAAATGAAAATGATCACTCCTTGCAGTACAATAAAATTACAAAAAAGCTGATCGTTTAAATTGAACATTTATAATTAGCAAGTAGAGATACCATGTTAGAAATACGCGTTAGCATTTTTCACTCAATAGAAAAGTGTCTTAGAACTCTCAGCTTTGTCCAACACTTCTACTAAGAAAGTCTTAGAAATTGTCAGATAAATTGTTTCTATACACGCTGCACATATGCAAAGCCAAATTTGTCTTTTTACTTAACTTGTTGTTGTTGTTTTTTTTGAGTGCAAGTGGACTAAATGATGCAGTAGCTGGGTGTGGGGCTGGGAGTGTGTCTATGGTTATGCTCCATATCTTTCGGATTTTCTTCCCACTTTAAAAGGTCAGACTGCTAACAGGCTGTGGATATATGCTTAGACCTACTGTTTTATTTTTGTAAATTAAATCTTCTTCAGCTCCAAGACAGAAACCTAAATGCTTTTGATCTAACTGCTACTTGGGAACCATTCCACAAAACAGGTTTAGTAGCACTCCAGAGTAAGTTCTGGGGTAAATCCCTGCATACGCTGGCATTTCTATTTCAGAAAGCAAGGAGTCATTACTGATTAAAAGTATGACATATTCTATTACCAACTTTTTAGGTGAGATTTGCACAGGAAAGTGTTGGAAATGGTCTGTCCTTTTCTTGAAGCTGGAGTGCAAATACCTTTTAGAGCTTGACTAGATATTTTATCATTTCCAAATAAATATCTCTTGTATCTTTGTTGTATCTTTGATGAAGATATCATATTTAAATATTTTCATCTAACAATGAATAAGAGATCATATCTCTCCTATCATAGCTTCTCTTCATTGGCTTCCTGTTAAATCAAGAACAGAATTTAAAATCCTCCTTCTCAAATATAAAGCCTTAAATTGCCAGCTGTGCTGTTGCCACTAACACCTTTGTCTATAGATTAGGGATGCATGATATAATCTGCCCCCTTTCGGTATCGGCCTGTATCGGCCTTAAAACTGAATATCGGACATCGGCCACCACACCGATATTTAACCCGATATTTGATCATATACTATTTGATGATATACTTCTTCTTCTTCCTCAAAAACGTATTTTTTACAGACTTAAAAACTTCTAAAGACGAGGGAATAAATATTGATACATTAAAATATCACAATATCTTACTATGCTGATATATTGCCATTTAAAAACACCATATCAATCTCTTTTACTAATGAAATATTGCTATATGTCATTGTTATGCTACGAAATCCCCCGAAAATTCACAAAATTTTGCCATATTTTTATATGTTGATATATTGACGCGGTATCGATCTATTTTACTAACAAATTCTCAGAAGAATTAGCAAAATATCACGAGAGTTTGTAACAGAACAACGAAATTTCACGAGATTTTGAAAGTAAAATAGATCGATACCGCGTTTTTAAAAATCAATTTGATATCAGCATATGAAAATATATTTGAGTATATTATTTTTCAATATGGATAATAAAACTGCTATTTTCAATGACTACTTATTTTTGTCCAGCTTTAACATTGGTATCGATATCGGTTATCGGCTACATGAGTTTTAAAATATCGGCATATCGGATATTGGCCAAAATCCCAATATCGTGCATCCCTACTATAGATGTTCGAGATCGGCCTGCTTTTCAATGTAGTCCTATTTCTCTGACTGTGACTGGCTGGATATGCTCTCTTCCTCCTCTGACATGGGAGCTGGCTCGGAGCTTGTCTGTCTGGCTGTGTGTTTCCTGGATGGGGCCGCCTTTTACAGCTGCTTTTTGTATCTCTGCTTCTGTCTCCTTGAACCCCGGCCTCGGCAGATGGCCGCTCACTCTTAATCTGGTTCTGCTTGACGTTTCTTCTTGTTAAAAGGAAGTTTGTCCTCTCCACTGTCGCTACAAGCATGCTTAGTGTGAGGGATTGCTTTCGAGTCAATGCGTCGATGCAATCAACTGGTTTTTCTTAGATAGAAAACTTTGAATCGATTTCATTGTATGATCTGGTGACCTGTAAAGTGCTTTGAGATTACATGTGTTGTGAATTGGTGCTACCAGTATATAAATAAACTGAATTAAATAAGTTTCATGTGGGAATTTTTTTTCTTACTATTACAAGTACAGTATCAAATACTAACACTGTGAAGATGGCTGTTGCAGGTTAGATTCTTTGGAAATCGAGTTATCAATTGTGGCATGTTATGTTGCACCTAGACACACGTAAATAAAAAAAATAAATCTTTTTGGCAAAACCATTCAGCCCTGAGTTTGGGCCAAAAACACCTTTTGGAGTTGTTTAAAAACACTTAAACTTGCGTTTCACAAGACAATGACTTATCTATCTGGGTGTGGATATTATCTTCAGTCCAGGAGAGAGACGGGGGAAAAAAGGAAAGAAATCCCATGTAGAACACAATTAGTCCTTGTTTAAAAACACCCTGAAGATCGTTTAGCATTTACCAACATCTCTGGAGCCTCCAGGACTAATTTATAACTTGACTCCTCAAATACTTAAAGAAAATGTTCAGCTTCCTCTTTATTCTCATACAATTATTGATGAAAATCTTAAATTTGCCATGATATGTAAACACTGGAACAGAATTGTCTCATTCTATGCAACTTTTTATCTTGGTTTAAGCTTAAGAGACTTCATTATAACTGACAGTAGGTTTGAACTAAAGCAGACATTTTGCTGAAATCAAATCAGAAGGTGGTTTAACTAAGTGGAGCTTGAAGATCTGTACGCATGCAACCAATTAACTGTAAATTATGGGGGGATTCCACAGCATATGTTACATTAAGAGGTAAACAAAGAATTCCATTATTCACCATAATATCAGTTTTAAGCCTCACGAAATCTGGTAGTATAAAAAGGGTGTGCAGACTTTTGAGCTTCACACTAAGATTACTCTATTTTTTTTTTCAGTTACTTAAGCTCAAATGGAGTTTCAAGAAAACTCAAGGGCACCACTATTCCACATGGAAAAGCTTACATCCAGGTCACTTTAAGGAAAAATAAAAGTTAAAAGACAGCACCCTTATTGGCACCAATGTGCTGACACAAAGAAGTGACGTTAGCAAAAGCCAAAAATGTCCACACTAATTTCATGCTTCAAACAGAATTCTATCTGCATAACAGACTTGTGAAGGAGACAAATGATCAGATTAAAATAACTGACTACAGCATATTATTTCAACAGACTTCATATCATCTTTTCTAATCCCTTTTCTGAACTGCTGGGTTTCTGCAACCCTTCTCTCTACAAGGCAATCCTGCTTACCTCCGTAGCATTTTAATAACAGATATATAGCAACAGGTGCTGATTTTCTGATATTTTTGTTGAAATATCAGAGCAACTTCAAGCACATATCCTTACAAAAATTCCTTAAGAACTGAGTAAGCTGTGTTAGTATTATACTGGGAGTTGTGTAGGAAGCGGTTTGCACTAACCTCTGGGTTGGTCCACTTGGTCTTGATCCTGTCAGCCATGTGCTGCGTGTAGGCCAGCAGGTCATGACCCTGCCTGCTCTGCAGATAGAGCACACCAACAAGCAGTAAATACAACAGTGCATCCTGCTGCACAAGCAAAGAAGAATAAAAAAATAAAAGTGACAATGATGGGTTTTAAGTTGATGTTAAAATATGTTTGATAAAATAAACAACTATTGATAATAGTAAATGACTCATGAGTAGGGTTGGGAATTGAAAAGATTTTCACGATTCCGATTCCCTTTTCGATTCTATGAAACGATTCGATTCTTTATCGATTCTTTTTTCGATTCCAATTTGGGGAAAAAAGGAGAACAAACAGTTTGATTATCAGCATCAACTGTGTTTACTTAACTATTGCACAATCTTACAAAATCAACAAGATCAAGATGTCCACAGGAAATGTGAAACTGGAGTAACATCTGTGTTTAAATGAAAAATTAATACAAGAACAAACTTAATAACCAACAATGTCTAATAACAAATGATGGGATAATAACCTATTTTAAATAACAAAAAATACTAATTATAAAACAGTAGTAGGGAAAATTAACAGTTATTTTGCAGAAAGATGAGCATATCTGCTTTTTCTGGAAGGATACGGGATCTTTCAGGGCTTATGGTGTCTCCAGCCATGGAGAACACCCTCTCAGATGGGGTGGAGGAAGCCTGCACACAGAGGTAGTTTTCAGCCAGTCAGATAGCAAGGGCAGCGTATCTTGCTTGTTCCAGCACCACAGTGTGGCGCTATCCCTGCAGGGGATGGAGGGCAAGCTTTTATAGAGCTGGATTTCCGGATCTACCCTCTGGGCTAAGGAAAGACGGGGCTTTGATTCACAAAGTGACCGCAGCTCGTTGTCTTCCTCCTCGAATAGTTCTTCCAACTTGCGTAACTTGCGTAACTTACGTAACGTACGTAAAAAAACGTGACGTAAGTCGTGCTCCCCAGAGCCGGCGCTCTAGGCTCTGGTGCTGCGGGAATCGAAAAAAGAATCGTTCAGCGAGCTGCCAAACGATGCCATGGAATCGGAAAATACGGAACCGGTTCTGAACAGGAACCGGTTTTCGATTCCCATCCCTACTCATGAGTAATGCTTTCATCGTAATTTTTTCACATAAAATGAAAGGTGTAGTACATCATTGGATACTTCACTGCAGTTCTAATCACAATTCATATTCCGATTCTTAAAATACCCCCATTATTAAACTGAATCATCTAAAAGGGTGTCACAGTTAATCATCTGTATGAATTTTTGCAGGAAGCAGGATAACAACTTTAGCAGTCCCAGCGAAAACAAAGAGGCCTTGTGCAGCATGTGTGACTTTCTTTAAAGCTCTGAAGAGTCATGTGAGAGTTAATTTGTGACTTTGTTCCCCTAAGGTTTGCTGCAGGGTTTACAGACAAACAATAATTCTGCTATAAAACGTCATCCAAAGAAAATGCTTTGTTTCTGACCAACCCATGTTAGGAGATTCTTTGTGCACACCTACCACAGGGTTCCTACAGCATAAGGCAAGTTAAATTCAAGACTTTTTAATGCCACTTGAAAAAAAATTTAAGACCAAATTCACAAGAAACACAAGAAAAAAAAACATTCGACAACTTAACCCAAAGGTTTAGTTTAACATAAGCCACTGCACTAATGTTTCAAATTTTGAAAAGCTTTCCATACAGTAGGAAAGCTAAAAAACACAAATGACAGATATATTTTAACAATTATTTAACTGAATTCACAAACTTTGTTTTAGCAGGGAACAAAACAAATCAGTTTTAAAGCTACAACACCAGTGCTAAGTCTTTTTTGCAGCTTCTTTTCTTTGTACCGTTTTCTTAGTATGTTTGATTTGGTGATAAGTAGATGTGTTGCAGAGACAAGGGTGGAACAAAACCGAGAAATACCGGCTGTTTCTGGGTAACTCGATTTTGACGCTTTGTGTTTCGTGCTTCGCATGTGCGACTCCGCTGCCTTAATTTCCATCGTTCCGAGCTTGAATGACTTATTGCACAAAATATACTGTGCTTCATGTATGTTCCCTGGTTTTAGTCATGGAGAAAACTCTTCGCTGGATAGCCAATTTTCGTTACATGTACACTTGCCCGGCCGCAACAACGCTTTTATTGGTTCCGTCCTGATAGCGGAACCAATAATGGCGTGCCAAAAAAAAAAAAAAGTCAATTTTAACGTTTTATTTAGATTACAAAAAAAAAATCACAATAAAAATAATCCTATTTATGATGTTTAAAAAATTAAGACCTACGAAAGACTGATTTAAGACATTTTTAATACCTATTAAGGCCTAAGTTTTATTTTGAAGAATTCAATGCCTTTTAAGACTTTTTAAGGACCCGCAGGAACCCTGTACCAAAAATCACAGAATTTAATATGCCTCGTTGAAATGCTACTCAAGCAGAGTCTACTTGCTACACAATGGGTAGCATCTGTTTATTTTTGTCTTGACAAGATTGGTGATGTCTCCTCTTAAATATAAAAACAAAACCATCAAGTTGCCAGCATTTGTTCATCCTGCACATCAGTCATCCTTAATGGAAGCTTACCTACAGAGCTCACTACTCAAGGCAAGCACACTAAACCTTACTACATGACAGATGTGGCTTTTGAGGCTAAATGGTTCCTTTTATCTAAAGTGCAAAAGACACTAAGGATTTCTTTAAAATAAAAAAAAAAGTCTGTGGGGACAGGACAGTTATCTAATTTGTTTTAATGCCTAGAAGACTTATATGGCCAGTCACTATTTGATGTTACCAGCTAATTCATGCGTTTCTTTAACTTCTTGTACATATAATAAAATAAAATAGAACAGAATAAAAGTATTAGAAAGCAAGGAGGAAAAAAAATGGAGGTATGCAGATTAACACAAATGGTAAAAGATAAAAATTGACAAAATGCAGGAGGGGGAGACAACAACAGTAACGACAAAATGTGACACTAATTTGAAAAACTATTCGATTAGCTGTTAAACAAACTACGTCGAAAAAGTGTTTTAACAAGATTTATGAGAAAATGCAGCATCTGCATCTAAACTGCATATCTCTACAACTTAGCAAACCATACAGGGATTTTTTGTTTAGCCAGATCTTTCTTAATTGATCTTGAAACCTTCAACATTTTTCCAAATGATGCAGAGAACCTTTAATCCTAAAAACGTTTAGCTACCAATGTAGGTTATTGTGTCCAATTTTATCTTTTTTCATTGGCTTTATAAAACTTTTCATTCTGCTGATACAAAATTAAAACAAAGAAATAAATTGATAGCATCCTCATAAAAATGCTTGTTCTAAAAATATACAGTATATCATGCTGCTATGTTTTTCTATCCGTCCGTCCGTCCGTCCGTCCATCCATCCATCCATCCATCCACTTCAGCTTTATCCTGGGCCGGGTCACAAAGGCAGCAGTCTAAGCAGAGATGCCTACACTACCCAATCCACACACAAAAAATTGCAATCCTCCAGCTGCTCTGTCAGGATCCCGAGGTCACACCAGGCCAGCTCAGAGACATATTCCCTGCAGTGTGTCCCGGGCCTTCCATGAGGCCTTCTCCCAATGGGACATGCCTGGAACACCTCCCAAGGGAGGCGACCAGGAGGCATTCGGAACAGATGCCTGAGCTACCTCAGGTGGCTCCTTTCGACGTGGAGGAGAACGACTCTACTACGAGCTGCTCCCACGTAACTGAGCTGCATCGACAATGGAGGAGGTGAACATGGACCACACTGACTCCATGTTTCCAACTTCCCTCCGGATCTTGGAGAAACTCGTCCTGAGAAGGAGAAGGACCTCGCTGCAGCAAACAGAAAGGGGCGGGGACGGACCTTTCCGTCAGTCCCATACCTTATTTGGAAATGGGACTATTGCATTCCGGAAATGAAGGGGGCGCTATTTTCATAATCACTAGTATAAATGCCTTAAAGACGCGGGGTTAAGAGGAAAGGAAGAAGAAAGAAAGAAGTTTGAAAAGTTTTTGCACTGGTGTTCGGCACACGATCCATAATGCAAAACCCACAAAATCAACAAAAGGTAATTTTACCTTCTTAAAATTTGTTTCACATAGTAAATTAATACGCTTTTCTAGATTCAGTTTTTTAAGAAAACCTTCAATTTGTCCTTTTTAAAAGGTCCAGAGAAGAACTACAAAAGGAGAGAAAGCGGAAAAAAGTTGATGAGAGGGCAAAATGTGAGGTAAGCTGTAGCTAAAATTCATCACTTTGTTGTTTTAAGTCATAGAATTTGTATTATGTCCATTCACAGTGTACTTTTGTTCTATGCTTATTTTTTTAAGTCTGAAAGAAAATCAGGATAGAAGAATTAAAAGGGTTGAATCAGTTTTGATGTTATTTGGACTTGCAATCATCTTTCACTTAGAACATATCTGTATTTTTACAGACTCTGTGTGCTGATGACCACACCTATGCCAAAGGAGCCGAGGCACAAATTGAGGTTCATTTTTAAATTTACACATAACTAGTAATTTTGATTTGTGTATCTTTATGTGCAAATGAGACTAAAATCCTAAATGATTTTTTTTAAATTAAAATTCATTATTTGGACAACTTTTTTTATATCATTAGAGATGAAAGGATAAGATACTGAGAGATATAAAGTATTAATTATTGTTTAATGCTCTTCACCATGCAGGTAGAAAGGATACCGCCAATCTTACAGGTAAGATTCATTCATAATCATATGTATCATCCATTCTTCCTGTATGACAGTCTTGCAATGCACCTGTTTTTTATTTTGTTTTTGTTTTTTTGTTTTTTTTTTCAGATGCAGAGGAGAGGAGAGTACCCTCGTTACTACTGTGATGGCATACCTGGACTTTGCCCTGAGTGCCAACATTGAATTCAAAGAAAATATAAGTTGCTTTCCACAATCTGTCACATATTGTTAGTTTTTTTTGCGACATGCCATTTGAAATCGTTTCTGATAAAGAATATTTACCTTTTGACTTGTGCAGTCCTCCTTTTTCATAATGTGTTCTTTCAATATTATTTACATTTTTGAAAGTTCCTTTTGTTGTAGCTCAGTTGATTTACATCATTTAGTTTTCATAGAAATGGTGTCGTTTCCACAAAGTTACATTGTGGCTGTAATTTGTTGGAGAGACAGTAGAACCAATAAAGTAGTTGTAAATATATTGTAACAGCGTTGTTTAACAATTGGAAAATCTTGTTGGAAAATTTTAAATGCAAGCAAAGCTAATAACTTGCAATATGCAATGTTTCCTATACATTTTTGAACAATGACTGGAATCAATACAAACTTTCTTTACAAACCTGACATACAGACAAGTTGTTTATGTTTTAACAGTTAGAATCAACTTGTTTTATGTAATAAAAAATAAGTTGCAGAAACATATTGTTCAGATACAAACATAAGATTAAACGAGCAAAGCGAAGGTGTAATCAGGGTGGAGGTGATGGAAGCTCAGGTGAGGAGCAGTTGCACACATCAAGCTGGACTTTATGAAGGGTGAAGGGAGGCACCTGAGCAGGTGATTGGCTGAGCAGGTGAGATGAAGACAGACTTTATTCAAAAAGGTTTTCATGTAGAAAAAAGATGATTCTCTCTGGTGGTTACCAGTACAGTGTCTACTGCCGGGATCAGAAAGTTGAAGATTATTGTCAAATGAACTTTCTAAAACCTACTTTCTGTGCGAGTCTTTCCAGGTTGAAGCTACATTTAAGGTTTTAATTAATCACTTTGGGTTTTGCTACAATTGGATATTCATGTTTTTGGAGTGCAGTTTATGAATTTATTGCAATTGATAAAATTACTATGGTATTTCTAAATGGAATAGAGGGACACCAGTCAGTTTACTAGTTGAGCTGGAGTCCTTATAGGAGACATTATGGTCAATAATGATAATAATTGAGCCAGGTCACCTGCAACCAAGTATATTCTAGTTACCGAATGGCACTTGTTAAAAGTTCAAAAGTCCTTTGGTTTGTTTGTAAATTATATTCACAATGAGAATAATAAGAAAAAATATTTGGCAAATAAACAACAAAAGTGCACCGTGAATGGACGTACTAAGTTAGCCAAAATTGTCGACTAAATTTTTTACAGACCAAACCTCTTTTCCATCTAGTTCTTATTAAATAAGCCAAAGGCTATTATATTTTAGATTTTAACTTATTTATTTTAAGAGTACCGTTCACAACATCAAAATATATTATTTGAACTTCAGCACCAGCATGTATTTGTTTATATCTGTTTTCTTAATCAGCGATGGACTGGGGATCTGTCCAGGGTCAGCAGCCTTCATGACCCCACTTGAGAATAATTCATAAAAATTAATGGATGGATAAATGTGCTCTTAATGTAATGTACATTTGTCTCCAAAATATTGATTTTATTTCTCCATAATGATTCCTTATTGTTGCTTATTTTAGATTGTTTGTTACTAATATAATTTTAAATAAAGATTTCAAAATAAAAAAGGGACATACCACGTGACAGACATACCACGTGACATATCACGTTTTGTAGCCATTTCTTTACTGTTTAATTAGTATTTTTAATGTTGAAAGTGTTCTTGGGTGTTTTGAAAGGCGTTGTCAAATAAAATACGTTATTATTATTATAATTATTATGAAACGGTCGGTACAGGAAATAGTGTCACCAGCGCCCCGTCAGTTCCGGAATGAAATGGTCCCATTTCCATATAAGGTATGAGACTGACAGTGGTCCGTCCCCGCCCCTTTCTGTTTGCTGCAGCGAAGTGTACTTCCTGAGAAGTTAAAGACTGCACTAACAGAGTGATCCTGCAGACGTTCCCAACAGACTTTCAGAACACGCTTAGACCTGCCAATTATCCAGCTCCACACCAGGTGGTAATTGGTTGACAGCTCAGCCTCTCTCTTCTTCTGAGTGTCAGAGAAACGCAACCGGAGATCAGATGATACAACTACAAAGTGGATCATCGACCTCCGGCCTAGGGTGTCCTGGTGCCACGTGCACAGAAAAAAAAAATTAAACAGAAATGTTTTCAAAAGAGAAAAGAAGAAAAATACATTTCAGCAAATGTCTCGGGTTTCTGCATTTGTGATATACAAAACAATATTAAAAACATCTGAACTCTGCTGGTAATGTTATGCTATACTGAACAACAGCTGACTCGTTGAACCTATGTAATATGCTTAGAGGAAAGACATCATGTTGAATCACTGCAGCAAAGATTTTTTTTAAATTTGATTTAAACCCAAAATTACAATGACGCAGTTTCATTTCCGTTTTATGGTTTTCAGAGAACGCATTTTACAGCAGAGTAATTAGATCAGTTTATTAATGAAGTCATGTGGGTGACCATGAAATGTTGTGTTGTTTAAACTATTAAACTAAGCACTTACAAAGCTCTGCTGAGCTGACTCTAAAGAGAAAAAGGCCCACAGCTATCGGGATACTTGCTAATGAATTAGAAATGCAAAGCAGATAGGTGATGCTCTGAATACATGATGCTGCAGATATTGTACAGCGTGCCATAAGTGATTAGATCCAACACATGGCAAGCAATAAATCACACTCTGCTAGTCTACCATGTATAAACCTGTCATGTTGTGTGCAGCTCACCTTCTGCCACACATAGGCCTCGTGCAGAGTAATGATTTCATGATCTCTGTGCTCGCCCTGCACAGCACAAACCACGCAGATGATCTGCTCGTCAGGTTTACAGTAGAGGGAGCCTTCCTGACCGTGCTCTTTGCAGCGCAGCCTCTCCACTGTCACTGTGTCCCTCTTCCCTGCCTCACCAGCAGCCTCGGCCTCATCCACACCTCCGCCCTCATTCTGGTCGTTTATTCTCTCCTCAGCTCCCCCATTCTCAGCGCCTTGTGCCTCTCCCTGATTTTCACCCATTGCAGCTGCCCTCTTTTCACCAGATTCAATCCCAGCTGCACCTTCGACTCTGCGATCTCTGTCTGAGTCCAGAGCAGAGGGCTGTGCGTCTTCGCCGCTGTAAGGCATTAATGTGTGTCGCGTGCTGCTGGCATGTCTTTCAGCATGAAGAGGGCAGAAGGCAAAGCTGCAGATGTGGCACACTTGAGTCGCAGGTTGGGCTTCATCAGGCTCACACGCGTCACAGGAGCCATCCATCTGCGGCAAATCATCGTGATTCAGCCCTATGGCCCCTTCCAGAGACTCCTCTTTGTGATCCATTGTGGCTGAAATATCTGTGAATCACAGGGATAAATCATGTTATGTTTGCATGAGATTTAAATCCTGAATTCCAAATGTGCAACAATCATGCACGGCATTATGGCCACTGATGGCTGCAGTGAATAGCACTGTTAAGGGATAAGATATAAACTATATTACCAAAAGTATTTATTTACTTGTACAAAAATTATAACCAGGTGATACAATTTTTTCCTTAGCGACATATGTATAAAATCAAGCACCTGGGCACCCAGACTATCTCTATAAACATTTTTAAAAGAATGGGTGAGTCTCAGAAGTCCAGTGAATTTCACCGTGAAGCTGGAATAGAATCTAATTTGGGTTACAAGCCCATTCTAGAAAGTTACTCCCTTCTAATTCCTAAACATTCTGCTGTCAGTGGTATTATAACAAACTGGTCAAGAATGGAAAAGACAGAAACTCTGCCATGAAGAGGTAGGCCACTTAAAGTGACATAGAAGGCCACATGGTATTTATGTATAAGAGCTACAGCTCTTTGAACTTTACGTGACCCTTAGATTAGTTCAGAAACAATAGGTAGTGAGCTTCATGGAATGAGTTTCTATTTACCAAGCAGCTGCATCTAAACCTTACACCACACAGTGCAACTGAAAGTGATGCAGTCGTGTAAAGCGCGCCTCCAATGGACTCTGAAGCAGTGCAGATGCTACTCTGAAATAACAAATCAAGCTTCTCCATCTGGCAATATGATGAAGTTTTGCTTTAACGGTTACCAGGAGAATGGTTCCTAGTTTTAGCGGAGTGATGATTATGTTGTGGGGCTGTTTTTTTAGGATGCATGTCTGGTCCCTAAGGACATCTGAATGTTACAGGACAACAAGGGAATTTCATTATCCTCACACTGTGGGAATGGTTTTGAGGTGGCCTTTTCTTCCTCCAACATGACTGGGCATCAAGAACAGGATCATAGGAGATAAAGTCTGATTGACTCAGGCGAACAGCAGCTTTGGGATCTTATCCAAACTCAGCCTGCTATGGATCAACCTGGTGAGGGAGTCAATGCTGGATCTACAGATTGTCATCAGAATACTCAGTGCATACTTGAACCTTCCGATGCCTATAGTGTCCCTCAAAAATTTCAACTCTTAACAAAAAGCAGGTGTGGTTTTAGAAAGGGTTTGAGGACTTGGCTGGACTTCAAAAATGTAACCGGAACTCTGCCATAATTTTAAGATCTTCACATTCCACTGCTCATTAGTCCACTGCATTGAACACTATTACCTGATGCAGTTTGGGTTAAAAAAAAAAAACGAACAGACAAACAAAAACATTTGTTGTGTCTTTGATTCATGAAATTACATTTTTTAAATGGCATAAGACACCCTAAATTAGGTGCAGTTATTATACGGCATCTTAAAAGCCTGCAGCAGCAGACGTGATATGCAAAAATGGATATGCCCAATTCTAACACAAAGTCCATCACAGAATGTAATTCACTTTATGCATTTTCCATTCTCTAGAAAATGCAAATCAGGTTTTTTTTTAAAACTTGATAAATGGCCAAAAGCAGCTCTTCGCTGGCCTAAGGAACAAATGATACCAGGACGCACAAGAAGAACGCTTTATGGATCAATGTTCTGCTGGGAAACATTGGACATTACTATCAGTGTTTGTGTTACTTTGATATTAAGAGTACATGAAAACCACATTCTAAAAGCATGTCCTTTCACAGAAGTAAAAATACCTTAGAAAGGGTTTAGACTCAGTAACAAGCTTGAGTGAGGACTTAGCCTCTAAATCATAAACATGAATGAATCAGCAAAGACTTTTTGGAAGCTGATGGACAAACAACCTGCTGCCCTTTCTAATGTAACTTTTAAATCATATATTTAGAGATTAAATTTGAAAAGAGTTTTCTAATTGTACATTTTTAATTGAATTATTCATGAGGAATTGTAAATTGTATTTATTAATTCAATATCCAATACTGCAAGATGAAAATGTATTTTCAAATCCAATTTCTAAATGGATATTTAAAAGCCCCAATTTATTAATCTTATTATAGACACCTGCCTTTATTAGACATTTAAAAAGGTAATTCTTTTTTTTCCATTTCCTTTTTGCAGTTATATCTTTTTTTTTTATCCTCTACGTTTAACTTCTCTTGTGACCCATCTGGTCCTTGAGCACACTGTTAACCAATTTAACCAATCACATTTGCTCCTGGGATGTAACCAGATTCCCTCATTGGTGAAACTGACATACTTGTTGCACAAAATGACTAAGGGTTTGAAAGGATGGGAAAATACAAGGTGAAAAGGAAACAAAACCAGGAATCAACTTTTTAAATAGATTAGAAAAGGCATTTAAATTTGAATATATAAATTGTTCTTTTTAAATCCTTATTTAGAAATACCATTTAAAAAAACATTTTCAAATTGCAGTGCTTCATAATGAATTGATAAACACAATTATAATTCAAATTTAAAAATTACATAAAAAAAAATACCATTAGAAAATGCTTTCTAAATTGGATTTCTAATTGTATGATTTAAATGTTAAATTTGAAAAAGCTGTTTTTTTATTTTTATGTTGACTCTTGTGGTCCTCCATATGGAGGAGTCATATCCACAATGAGTCAATGGTATTTTAATAGAAAAAAATGATACATACAGCATAGTAGATATGTGGTCAAAATGTTGTCAGATCAGTACAAAACATTAAGGAGGACGAAGCTCCACAGAAACACAAATTCTATAAGCTTGTATTCAGTGGTGGACAAAGTACTCAACAGTAGTACTTGAGTAAAAGTATTGATACTCATAGTCAAAACTTACTCAACTACAATTAAAAGTAACTCTGTCAAACATCTACAAAGTTTAAAGTATTGAAGTACTCACTTTTAGAAAATACTTAAGCATTTAAAAGTACATGCACTTAAAAGTACCTAAGTATTCAAAAATACAACTTTCATTTAATAATATCAGTACATTTCTGTATAATTTTCAGAGTCATTTTAAAGAACCCTGTAACCTTTAGAAACTACCTGATATATTGATGCATAAAACAACCTGCTACAAATGTTATACCACTTGTAAAGAACTTTAGCATAAAAATGCCACAAAGAATAAGGACAGCTATTTTGATTATTAATTCTTTCTCAAAAACAACCAAAATGAAAACAGGAGATTCTTGATTCTCCTCATACCTTCACAACGGTAGCCTAGTAAACTAGCCCCACCCACCAGTGGCCAAAATAATTTTTTGGCTGCGAGTTTGTAAATTATACATTTAATCTCACATTTAGTCTGGTTTATCAGGCTTTCACAATGGAATAGAGATTGAATCTAGTACAACAAAAACACTGCAACTCGGATATGAAAACTCATTCTATTGAACAACTTGGCCATATGGTAACAACTAGGGCTGAAACAGTCAAACGCATGAATCGTGATTAATTAATTATTGAAATAATCGTAAACAAATGTGTTAATCGATTAACTGTTAACTGGAGCATAGAGACTGTGAAACAAGGTTTTATCTGACAAAGCAACCCACCTTTAGCAGCAATTATACCAAAATTGTAAAAAAAAAAAAAAAAAACCTTCTTGATGTGTCCATATGCTCTTTTGTAACTAGAAAAGCTTTAGCTTCATTTGGTTCAATTCAATAAAAAGTCTTCTTTAAGGAACCTTTTGCTATCAGATTATTAATCGATTAATAAAAAAAATTGGCCGATTAAATGATTTGCAAAATAATCATTAATTGCAGCCCTATAACAACTAACTCCTTCATTAATTAAAATCGTCATGCAAACCTCCAAAAAAGTGGTGTCTAAATTCAGTTCTAAGGGTTGCTATCCTGCAATATTGAAAATGCATATCAATAAAGAAAAAGAGCAACAGTGGATTACAAAGCTAAGCTGAGCCAAAAGTAAAGAGCTTCCTTGAAATGTAGTGGAGTAGAAACTACAATATTTGAAGTACCCCCCCCACACAACAAAAAAGCCTACTAACAAGTACTTAGGTACAATAATCAGATAAATGTACTTTGTTACTTTAAACCACTGCTTGTATTCACACATTGAGCAGGTGCTATAAAGAGGTATCCTTTTGTCTACAGCTGCTGCTGATCTCCACTTTCACTTTCCCCTTGTTTACTAACTCACAGACATAAATGGCTGCTCTCCGCAGGCCCCTGACCTTTCTGCTTTTCTTTTTTGTTTGTTTTTTTTTTTCAGACCGGTTGCGTTCCTGCAGAGTGGACTGAAAGGAGAAGCATAAAAGTGTAGCATATTGTTCACCTGTACACCTCGCTGGTTTCTCTCTCTCATTTTGACCTGTTTGTTTACTTTCCCTCCAGACTGACACAGACTACAAGATATTAAAAGCTCCACTACAGAGCAAACTGCTCCCCTTTGCTTTTTCCAACACCTCCTTCTCTCTCTAGTGTTCACACAAAGACTTTTTCCTGTCTGTCATGTTGGAGGGTAGTGGTTCATACTTACTTGTCCGTGTCTTCCTCACCCTTTGTTTCTGTCTAACTGGGCTGTTAAAGGTAATAATATGGTGTCTGTAAAGCAGTTAGCTTAACGGCTAACTTCTTTAGCTCAATCGATGTTGCTTTATTTCTTTTCCTGAGCTGCTAACTGACACATTTCACTTCTAACAGAGTAAAGAAAGCTACAGTTCCAGTCCAGCAGCATTTACTTCCTTGTTTTCATGAACTGCTGTCTGCTTCTTTTCTTCCTTTTCCCTCCAGCTCTCCGAGCAAATGAAAGCAGAGCGACAGATAGAGGCTGGGAAGAGGAACTGCATCTTAAGACTAAACGCTTGACGGATTTGGATACTAAAATTATTTCATTTAGATATATATTTTTTCTGTGTTTTTCCCCATAGAACACAATGCCAATGTTGCTTTACAGCAATCAAATTAGAAAGTTAAAAAAAAATTTGTTAGTACAAAAGCACCTGAAATTATTCATAATAGATTGACTTTTTTGACAACATCCATAAGTATTCCACTCGTCAATCAAGTGAAATACATTTTTGGTTACCTGCCTGTCAAACAAATCAACTTTAGAGAACATGGTGTTATAGGGCGATGGTGGCGTGGAACTCACTCCCGCAATTCTTGATTTCAGAAATTTTCCAAAAGGCTTAGACTTTATATATTAACTTTGGAGTAACTGTAATGTTCATGGAATTAAGTAATTCATAATGAGCACTAATAACTGAAATGTTTTGTAATTTACCTAATACCGAGAGATTGGTAATGTTTTGTACATAGAATAGCTCATACTATATGATGTGTATCTGGGTGTATGTTTTATATATATATATATATATGTATATGAAGTTGTGTTTTTGTGTGGGTGTGTGTGTGTGTACTTCCGTATTTGGTTTCATTGTTACTCAGCTTCGATGTAATATCTGTAAACCTGTTAAGACCCCAGGAAGAATAGCTACTGCTTTGACTCAGTAGATAATGGGGATCTATATAAATTAACAAACAAACAAACCCACAGGCCTATAATTCCATTGGTTTTAGGACAAATCAATTAGGACAAGATCACATTATTGAATTTTATTCTGGGATCGTAAGAAAGAATTATTGAATAAATTTTAGGTGGAATTGTATTGCCATCACCCTATTCTGGTCTGTGGGTCTGTGTTTGGATAGATGCTGAAATATTACAACAAATCCAAAAATGTTTTTTTAAAATAAAAAAACAAACAAAACAAAAGAGCACTAAGAAGGAATTTGTCAATCATGATTGCACAAAAATCCATATTATAAAGCATGATCAGCAACACTTCATCTAACAGCATTTTACAAGATGATATGTCAAAATTACATTCTGGAAGGCCAAACAGTTTATTCCTATAATATCCAATTCAATGTGACCAAACTGCAATTGGTTCTGATACAGATGTTTAATCCAAACCAATTACTATAAAATATGGTAGGTTCAATAAACCATATGGTTACTTAAAGTAATGCATCTAAGGAATCTGCTTGAAACCTTCTTTTAACCTTAGCAACCCCTGTGAGGCAGTGCAGAAAAGCAACCGCATTTTCACATGAGGAAACCTTCAATAGAACATCTGTCCCTGAACTGGCAGGGGAAAGAAATTGTCTGAAAAAAAAAACACCCTACCTAGAAAGTCAATCTGGAAAGCTTCCTTAAAATCTTAGGTAATGTAAAGATGTGCTATGCCCAGAAGGGCAAAGTGTCAGTTACTATTAGAGTATCCTAACAAAGGCTATGGGTATCTTCAAATCTGCTTTGGATAATATAACAATATGGAGATATTTCATATTAGAATTTTTCTATTATACTTTTAAAACAGACCATAATTTATCAGTCAGCTCTTGGTGTTTTTTATTAACAAACTGTCAGTATATATTTTTTAAATAATCACAAATACAGGGTGTGTTTTCAAACCTTTACAGGAAGGAAAACCAAAACTAAAATATGTATTACAAAAAATTAATAAATAAATAAATATGAATCCTCTTTTCAGAATCTGACTGTCAATAAATGAAACCAATTCCTCCTGGCTATAAAGAAGAAGACTCATGTGAGTCGCTATCATGGTTTAAGGAGGCATTAGTAAGAATTTCCTTTCGAAATTTAAGAGTTGTGATCAGAGCATTTCATATGAATGACATACAGGTTTAGCGGTGTCAGCGGTTGCATTAGGTTGAAATCTTAATCAGATATTGCATGCACGTGAGTCATTAATCCTCATTCAACATGTAAATGCTGTACTGTGTGTAAATGTGTATGTAACAGATATTATCTAACACTGTTGTATGGTCCAGATTTCTAATGCATTTCATTAAAAAGAAATTTGTGATTTCAAAAAAACTAGGTGAAATTGGGGCTCTTTTTTTGCAAGAATGACAGAAAAATTGAGCTTTTGAACTACAATGTCTGTCAACCACCCCAGTTCAAAAATAAATGAATGGATTGTCTTAAAATTAGGGATTTAATACATTCTCCTTATGTGAATCGTTATTATACTTTGGGAATGCACCCTACATGTTTTGAAATATTTCAGCAATTATTCCTACATTCTTACTTTAGACTATCTTAAATCCCATGACAGGTGAAGACAGGCAATAGCACCCCTTATGACCCCGGCAGGGATAACTGTGACAGAAATGTATGGAGATGGAAATAGGTGGATGGAAAGATTTTACATACTTGTGGCAAAAAAAAGGGTTGCTCAAAGTATAAGTGGCTAAAAACAACAAACTGAAACCTAATATACTCTGGAGTTTATCAGAGAGGTTTTATTCAACATTTTCTGTTAATTGTTGTCAGACAAGCTTGCAAGCCATGACTAAAAATAGCTTTTATCTGGTACACTGTGTGCATCTCAGACATTAAGCTTATCAGATGATCTATCTAATTTGTTTGGGTCCAAATGTTATTAGTCGCAGACCGTAATGTAATTTACTCAAATTTACATAACCAACAACAACAACAAAAAAACATATCATACAAAATAGCACAAGGTGTTATATAATTTTCTTTATAAAAACTTGTTTCAGTGGCCTTTTTTCTGTTTTGTATGTTATGTCTTCCTTTGGGGTCATAGGGAAAAGCAACAAAATGAGAAAGCAAAGGATAATAAGGCCAAATAAATGTGTCTGAATGAGGAAGGAAGAGAGAAAACGAAAAGACTCAGTTGAAAGGGTAAAACAACTGTGATTTTTTTTCTCACAAGTCTTAATGAGGATTTTGTAATTATTATATCAGCTATCCCTTCTGCTCCTTACCCACCATAAAGCACCACCGAGAGACAATGGAGCAGGATTAGAGGTCTGGGGAGAGATACAGAGAAATGTGGAAAAACAAGCTGTTCTCTGTAGAGAGAGATCTAAAGAGCCTATTGAACTTGGCTTCAAACAAGCTCTATTTGGCAAATACTTACAGACTGGTAGTTTGGTTCGAGTGCTACACCAGAAAAATACCATTTACGGGTTCCAAGAAAGCCTCCAGCACCCTCCTGAAATGGATTACTTCTTTTAACAGCTTTGGTGAGTGTTTCTCTTACATGAAATACGGTGTTACAGAGGATTATATACATAAAGGGTGATTCAGTGACAACATTTTTGACTGACTGAGATTTCCTTTGGCTTGGTGCTTGTGTAATGCTGATGTAATGACTTAAACTGAGACAGGGTGTCTTGTGGGTATTGCATCTTCACTGAGTTCACTGACTGAAAGTAGAGCTATCGCTATTGAGAGCACAAATGGTTTTGCTTTGCACATCACAGAGGAATCATTTTCACTTCAATAAAGGTTTGAACCTCTAAAGCTCACCAAATTATTGGTGTCACAATTACATGCACCTTTGACTTATTCAAGAGTCTTTAAATAGAATGAATAGCTGCAAGGAAAAGAACCACTGTCATTCTGCATTCAGCACAAAACTGAAAACAATTAAAAGCCTCATTGGCTTGCACTTCATTACGAAAAGCAGTCAATAAGAATGCAATATGTGGCTTCACTTTCACACATCTGTTTCTTCATCTCCACAGGAGAAGTTTTGTGAAACAAAATGCGACGCGCTGTTGGAGCTAAAACTGTTTACCTAAATTGTGTTCCTGCAACTCAGGAACTGCTGTGCACGGATGCTTGTAACACAAAGAACATCAAGCTCTTAGAAATGACAGCCAGCAATGAAGAAGGCAGCGCTGGCAGAGGAGAAGAGCAGACAGAAAGCACTTACTTAATCTTTTCGTTTCAACATTGTGTCGCTGACATGAGTATAGTTGTTGGTCTTAAAATGAAATGTCCTGCAGTGGAACAGCAGTGAGTGAATCTGAAGTGAGTTTGTGTTACATCTATCCCTTTTATGATAATGGTTAAACCTAAAACTGATTCAGGTAGTTGAGGTATGCAAGTTTTAGTAGAAGTAAGGAACGTATAGTTTGATTTAACATTGATTTGTTGTAATGAAAACTGTTAATGTGCCAATCATGCCATCACAATGCACAAGAGACAATTCAGTCAGATCATGCAGTCAGATTGGTTAAAATACTATCTAAGCAAAACCAGCTGATTGCATCAAGTCATTGACCTTGCAGGCTACACTCTTCCTAGATGTGGCCACAGCAGACATTCGCTTGCAGTGTTTCACTGACTCTTCATCAATCACTCACATAAAGCATGAATGCAGTGACATTGGGGAGGAACAACTCAATTTTAACATGGAGAAACCTCTGAAAGAACCAGGCTTAAATTGACCTTCTGCCAAGACTGCCGGAGGGTCTGAAAAGAGAGAGGCAGAGACATAAAAGGAACAAGAAGCACTGATCTATAAGTAGCTTGTATGATAGAAAAGCTAAAAGTAAATTAGTTCCAAAGGTGGCTCTGCCTAGGAAGGAAACAATTAAGTAGACAAGCTCTGAGGCAGCTATCATGTCAGAAGCGATGAAAAAGAGCACATTAATTATGACTCCAGTCATTGTGAAGTGCTTTGACAGAAAATTTTATCATCACATTTCACTTGAATATTGTAACCCATAAAATCTAATTTGCCTTAAAAATGTGCTGCACCTTACACCAACTCTACAACACTGTATGTACATTTTGGAGACAGGAAAAGATTTGCAACATGAGGTGAGGGGGGAAACTGCAGACTGACGCATCGTAATTCCTTTCAGATATTTGCTTTCACTTAATATGAAACTCTAATTATAGATTGACTTTATCAGACCTGAAACAG